CCTGAGGTCCCTCCCCAGCTGGCCAACCTCCCACATCCTTCCCCAGCCCTGATTGTGCGCCAGTGGGCTCCCTTGGCCTGGCCTGCACCCTCTTGCAATCCAGGCTGAGGGACTTCCCCCGCCCCCCAAGTGCACGAATTTCATGCACCAGGCCTCTAGTGGATAAATACAAGTGGAGAAGCAACTCTGGCAAGGGGACATTTAGACTGAATGTTTAGAATTTATGAGGACTATCTGAGAGTTTAGATTTGGACAAAGGCTCTTTGGGCATCTCTTCACATAGATGGTAGTGGGTGATAAACCACCCCAGAATCCAGGTGAAAGACATCAGCCTGCCTATTATACTGAAGTCTTCATTCCCTAGCAACGTGCTCTAGCATCAGGGAACTTTTACTTTTGTGCTGGCATCTGGAAAGCCAGCTCTAACTTGGATGCCATCTCTCCGAAGTGCTTTCTAGCATAAAAAGACACACCTCATATTAAATGTGTGTCTAAATTAATTGTAATTTCCACAGAGAACCCAGGCTAAATACTAGTAAATTGCTGGCAAAGACAATTCAGTTTCTGAGCATAACTTTTGCTGCCCCTTGAAACAATAGACAAAGCAAAACACTGTTGTTCCATGATTCAGAAGGTTTTTTTTTTTCTTCAAAAGAAAAAAAAACAAAAACCAAAAAATGCCCTTTTATTCTCAGTCAGAGTTAAGATTTGTAACTATTGCTCTAAAGTAGAAATTAGTTCAATAGTCCTTTTAAGTGGGAATTTCTTGAAATGAAGAATGCGGCCAAAGTTGGGAACACCTTTCAGTGCAATTCCATTTTCCTCCCCAGAAAACTAAAGAACTCAGTAGCGGTCCCTTCCATTTGGAAGTGAGACTGAATCATCGTTGCCAAACTGTTTCTCAGAACCCTAGGGCTCTGCAGATGTCTTACGAGTTTTATTTCCCAGCTAGAGTCATTCCACTTTGACCTGTTATGTATTGGTGCTCCATAAACATTTACCCTTTAGAATATGGTCCTCTAATTATTTTTTAAAAAGGATTTTGAAAATACAATACATTCGCAAATATTTGAAATAGGTAATGCATTTTTCTTTCAGAACCCTGTTATTGAAATAAATATTAAAATGCAAGTATTCATAAACAATTTTTCTTTATTTTTAATATATCTACCCTACAGCCTAGATTATTATTATTTTAAATATATTTTTATTGACTTCAGAGAGGAAGGGAGAGGGAGAGAGAGAGACAGAAACATCAATGACGGGGGAGAATCATTGATCTGCTGCCTCCTGCCTGCCCCACACTGGGGATTGAGACCACAACCCAGATATGTACTCTGACTGGGAATCTAACCATGACCTCCTGGATTATGGGTTGTTGCTCAACCACCAAACTACACTGGCCAGGCCTAGGTTATTTTTTAAAAAATAGCTTTACATCCTGCTTTTGAGCTTTTAGGTATATACTGAAGCCCCAAACTTAAGTTTGTGTAATACAATTTAGAGAAATTTGTTGCACCTAATTAAGAGCCTTATCTGAACCAGGCGCTATGCTGAGAATGAAGAGAATGAAGATGACTTTGAAGAGTGTCATGGATGGTAAGAGAGTCACGTGAGTCTGCGATCAGTGTTTACACCACATCCTCTAGCAGCAGCGCTGATAGGGGCTTCTACTCAAAAGGGGGTGGGGTGGGATGAGGAAGACAGGAAGAAGCTGTAGCAAACCTGAATAGCCAGCATTCAGACACAGCATAGAAGGTCCCTGGGACCTTCATTTTCCGGGGTTCTAAAGGCTGGGCGTTTAGGCGGGGTCTTGGGATAGAATCAATAGGATATTCATTAGCTTTATGCTGATATACCAAAACGAGATTTATTCTTTTAATTTGTCCTTGGGTGTGGTTGGCAAATGGGACTTAATTGGATTTCTGTTATCTGTCTCCCTGAGTAGGGCGAGTTAAGCTATTTACCCTCTGGTTGGGGAGGAGAGTGCAAACCATTTACTCTTAAGTGTCCTTGGTTTAGGGAAGATAGGATTTACTTGATGGATACAAACTGCATTTAACCGTTTCTCGACATAAAATAAAACAAGCGCTATCACGCTGTTTGGGTCTTTTCATACTCATTTAGAGAAAGCGCGGTTGCGCTGTTTGGGATTCTTCGACAGTGTTTTTTCAATACCCCCTGGGACTCAAACGAATCGTATGTTTTCTCGACATAAAATCTCAGCAGCGCGATCGTGCTGCTTGGGACTTAAACGGTTCCCCATTCCACTTGTCCTGAAATTTTCCTAGCTTCTTACTTTTCTATAATACTGCTGGATATTTGTCAACCTGGATGGTTTGATAATATTAAATAATTATTTAAAATCATTTTTAGATACTGCACTGGTCAGTGGTTCAATGGTTAGACCATTGGTCTATGCACTGAAAGGTCTCAGGTTCAATTTCTGGTCAAGGGCACATACCTGGTTTGCAGGTTCAATCTCTGACCCAGTCAGAGCACATTCAGGTGGCAACTGATCAATGTGTCTCTCTCACATCAGTGTTTCTCTTTCTCTGTCTCTCTTTCTCTCTCTCCCCCTCCCCCCTTCGCCCTCTACCTCCTTTCCACTCTCTCTAAAAATCAATGGAGAAAATATCCTCAGGTGAGGATTAAACAAAAAATAAAATTATTTATTTTTATTTATTTATTTTTTTAATCCTTACCCGAGTATATTTTTCCATTGATTTTTTGAGAGAGTAGAAGAGAGGGGAAAGACAGAGATAAATATCCATGTGAGAGAAACACATCTATTGGCTGCCTCCGGAATGAGCCCTGACCAGGGCCCAGGCTGAGAAGGAGCCTGCAACTGATCAGAATCGAACCCGGACCCTTCAGTCCACAGGCCAACACTCTGTCCACTGAGCCAAATTGGGTAGGGCAAATATAACATTATTTTTAGATATAAAAAAGATATTGTAATTGAAAGGTGAACATGGTGGGTTAGCACTGTGGTGGGTTAACACACCCAGGTAGGCTAAATAGCCATCTCAGATGGTGATTAAAGAAAATGGAAGTTATGTGGGGAAAGGAGGTGGGGGATGGGATATCTAAAGGGAAGGGCTGCACAGCACCTAGCCAAGGGGACACTGAGTCCACGATGGCAGCCCCCAGGAACTGGAGCTTCATCCTTCTATGCAGTCACTGGCGGGAAACTGGTGGTCAGTTGGGTTTGGGGGCTAGGCTACTTGGAATGCGGATGGAATGCAGGTGTGCAGTCAGGTGCCTTCAGGACAGTTTCCATTCCTTGTACGGCCTGATTCCTGGTGTCCAGCAAGTTTAACCTGGTTTTTTGTTCTGTGGTGGGAAGCTTGCAAATGGCCATTAAGTGTATTGCCCCGTGGGCCTAACAATAATTATACGTAGAAAAAGTCTCCTGCCCCCAAATTGACAAATAAAATGATATGAGGTCTGGTAGTTCCTTCCATGGTTGAGATGAAATGAGATTGGCTAGAACTCAATAGTTGTTGATGCTGGATGATGGATACAGAGGGTCTGCTTTGTACGTGTTTGAACTTTTCCATAATATAATATTTTCAAAAAGAAAAACAAAAACCCCAAAACCAACACACAAACCTCAAGAAAACAAATCAGATAATTATGTTGTAATAAATGCTAAGAAAAAAAAAAGTGGTAATAAAATAGTTTTCCCACTTGAAGTTCTGACTAGCTTAAGGCACCGAGATAAGGTCAGGCTACCAGGTCAGTTCCTCTCTAAATTACTGAGGTAAAGCCCACCAGGCCGCCCCCCTCCCTCCCCCGCCCCTCGTGGATAGGTGGAGTGCTTTTCTGCTTGAATTTCCATGGGTTGATTCAGTTTCTAATCTGAAAGAAAGGAGTCAGGATTCCAACCATTATCTGCCTAATACAAAACCGTTGGTCACACCCAGATCTAGACTATGCTTCTAGACTTTTAAGTGACTTTTCTTTAAGTAATACTTTACCTTGAAGGCTTGATGAAGCACACATCCTGAAGATCTGGGGTGTGGTCTCATAATTTATTTTTTCAATCATTTCTCCAGTAAACTGAAGCCGAGCCCTTGCAGACCACATTTTGAATTTAGTACATATAAACTAAATTAAACTGATCTGGGCTCCATGGGTCCCGAGACTAATGGACTGAACCACTTTCCTAGGGCAGAGAAAGCGCCCCGTGAGACCCCTGCATGACAAAGCTGCCATAATGTTTGCTAATAATTTCTTTAGTGGCTCTGGCTCCTTGGGGTGGCTTCTTCAGGGTCACCTCTTGTCACATCTGCCTCCAACATTATGCTCCAGTGATTCCCACGTGCTTGCAGTTCCTTCAGCATTCACTAGTCCATCACTTGCCTTAATATTTTGGCTCTTGCTGCTCCTCTTCTAAACAGCCAAACCCTTTCCTCTACCCAGCTCCCCAGTATTACAAGCTTAAAATTTATGTCTAGAACTAAATCCAGAAGGGATTATCTTATTCAAGCCCTACAATTCAAATCTAATCTCCCAGTGAGTGACACACCCCTAGGCATAAATCAGTTACAAAATACCTCTGAATCTTTTTTTATTCCTTCCATAATAACGTCATTCAATCCATCACCGCTATTCTCTGAGAAATGTTTGAAACTACTCTGGTCAGTTGTAACTTGTCTTCAAGAATTTTTCCAGTTTCACCCCAAGTCTTTATTTCTTAAAAATAAAAATCTCTCTTTTTAAAAATTCCTGAATGCTATTAATTATCCAATAATTCCAAGATCACCTAGTAAGATAAGATAGGGCATAAAACTGATAAAAACACCACCCGGTCAGATAATGGTGGGAGGGCGGGGCTTGGGAAGAGAAAGAAAAGAGCTCTTGAGAAACAGGAAGTAGAAGGAGACATTTGCTTATAAAAAGAGAAATCAGGCTAGAAACCCTGTGGTTAAATGGAGTAAACTGCACGAATCCTCAGCACTGCTGGCATTGCCTTCCTCTGAGTGCTCCTGGAAATGGCAAACTCAAGAAGCGAAAAGGTAAGTTTAGTTCAAATAAAATTAATTTTCCCGCAGATTCACTTATTAAGGCCTTTCTGGAGCTCACTTATGTTTTGCTCTTGCCATGCATGAGTCTTAACTTCTGGGTGTGAGGACATTCTTTGTGGTTAATTATTTTCTTTCACGTGATTGTGGCTCTGTCTACTTGGGCGAGAGTAGAAAGGAGAAGCAAAGATTCTTTTTCATAGAGCAAAGTAAGAGATTTATTTTGCAGAAAGGCATGTTGTAGGTCAACAAGATAAAGACGGAAAAGGAGAGCTGCTGTACCAAGAACATGGGAAAGATTAACATGGATAAGGACAAACATGAAGGGACCAATTCGTTTCTTCCAGGAGTGAAAAGTAATGTAATCCCAGTGGCCTTGGTATCAAATGGGTTTCCAGACCAGGCTTGGGTCACCCTGGACTGGAGGAGAGGATATAATTGAGGTTTCATGGGTATTTTCAGGGCTGCTGTACCAGGCTAGACGAGGACTGAATTGGCCAACATTAAATATATGATTATAGGCAGGTCATAGAGCTGCTTTGAGCCCCCATTTATCTCTAGAGTGGAGTAATAATGTCAATGCTTTTTTAAATGTGTGTGAAAGTGCTTTGAAAAAGCGGCATACAAATGTAAAATCCCTATATGCAAGCTACAGGAAGTCGTTGAGATTATTTAAATAGGGAAAAGGGATGGCTGCTTCAGATGCCACCAGGCTGCTGTGGGAAAAATGTATTACATTAGGGCTGGGATGGTTTTGAGAGAAAAAGCTAAGTTCAGAGATTTACTGAAGCATGTGTTACTCTGTGGCATTGGTCATTTAATTCCTGAGACTTAGTGGCCTAATTTGTAAAGTAGGAAAACTAATAAATTACTACAAGTATGTTATAAGGATTAAACAAGAAAATACAGAAAGCATCTAGCATAGTGCATGTTTACAAAACCAGTAAATGTTACTTCCTGCCTGTCCAGTTCACCTTTCAGTCATTAGATCATTGAAGAACATTGAGTGCCCAATCCGTGCTGGCACTGTGTTAGTTACTGTGATAGCAAAGGGAGGAAAACAGATGCATGCTCTCTCCTCAGGCCAGGGCTGAAGTAAGGCCAATATGGCTGGAGCTCAGAAAGCTTTTAAGCTGGAATGGCAGGGCTGCAGTGTTCAGGGATGTGTCGTGTAGGCTACATGAGAGAGTTTTGTCATTTACTCAGAAAGCAATGATAAGCGATGGGAGTATTTTAAGCAGGCAGGAGAGCAATCTAAAGAAAGAGTGGAGTTAGAATGGGTTTTTAATAACAAGACTTTTGCATCTGCCAGTGAGAGCTAATGATAGCTTGAGTTGCAAATCATGTGATGGAAGATGAGAAGGCAGCAACACATCTCACACGGATTTCGGAGATAAAATGAAAGTAGTTAGTGTTTTAGTTGATGGAAAGGAAGACCACAAGGGGAATGGTTTCCGAAAATCCCTTCAATTTCGTCTTTTTTGTTCATCCTCACCCGAGGATATTTTTCCATTGATTTTTAGAGAGTAGAAGGGAGGGGGAGAGAGAAACACTGATGTGAGAGAGACACAGCGATTGGTTGCCTCCAGCACATGGTCCTAATGAGACCCAGAACCCTTTCGCGGGCCAAAGCTCTATCCACTGAGCAAAACCGGGTAGGGTCTTTCCATTTCCTCTTTATCACTTGTAAATCGGTTTTTACCCATTTTCTCATTTTTTTAAAAATCTAGTAAAAGGTCTGCTAATAACATCATATTTAAGGAAATCTCAGTAATTTTTTCCATCACCTTCTCAGTTTTGTATTCATTAGTTGTGATTTGAAAGTAAGCAGTTTAATTGTATGCATCACATGAAAATTGGTAGCTGACCCTTTCCAGGATTTCTTTCAGGATGAATTAGAAGAAGAAAATGTGATACTCACATTGGTTCCAATAAGCGAGGAACATAATGAACATCAAATGGAACCAAGTGTTTCTTCAACCTCAGACAGCAAACTGACAGCGCCTAGGACAAACGATAAAGGTGTGATGATAAGGATTGCTCAGTGTACTGCTCCTCCAGCTCTGGAAAGCCCAGGAAAAAGGGATTTTTCTTTTCTCTTCTTTGGCTATACAAGGCCCAGCTCACCTCAATTACCTGTAATAAGAGATTTCTCTAACTCCCATGCTTGTTATTTGCTAAGCACTATGTACTGCCTTGCTTTTAAGACACACAAAAATCAGCATGTGGAGTGTTTTGGACAGAGCATAGTCTTATGCGGCAACTGGATAGAAGTTCAAATTTCCAACCCATGACCCTCACCCTTCTCTTCATTTTGGTTAATACATACTTTATATACCTCTTACAAAGACTAATTTTTTCTAGCTTTATTGAGATATTTACACAATACTATAATTTTAAGGTGTACAATGTGATGATTGGTACACATACACTGTAAAATGATTATAAAAATAAGGTTAATTAACACATTCATTTAAGATTTACTTTTTTAATCATCATTCGAGGATGTTTTAATTAATTAATTGTATTTTTATTAACTCCAGAGTGAAAGGGAGAGGGAGAGATAGAAACATCAATGAGAGAGAGTCTTTGATCGCTGCTTTCTGTACGCCCCTTACTGGGGATCGAGCCCACAACCTGGGCATGTGTCCTTGACTGGAAACAAACCTGGGACCCTTTGGTCCACAGGCTGACACTCTTATCCACAGAGCCAAACCAGCTAGGGCTGAGGATGTTTTTATTGATTAAAGGGAGAGAGGGAGGAGGGAGGGGGAGAGAGAGAGAGAGAGAGAGAGAGAGAGAGAGAGAGAGAGAGAGAAAGAAAAAAAGAAAGAAAGAGGAAGAAAGAAATCAATCGCCTCCTGCATCCAACCCAAAACCTGGATATGTGCCTTGACTAGGAACCTGCATATAGGATGACGCTCCAACCAACTGAGCCACACCCACCAGGGCAAGATTTTCTATCTTAGTAACTTTTAAGCATACAATACAATATTGTTAATATAGTCACCATGCTGTACATTCATCTCCAAAACGTATTCATCTTATAACTGAAAATTTATACCTTTTGATCAACATCTCCCCATTTTTCTCACCTCCAAACCCCAGGCAACCACCACTCTACCCTCTGTTTCTATGAGTGAGTTCTGCTTTTTTAAATTCCACATACAAGTGAGATCATAGAGTATTAGGAAGATAAAATCATTTTGAAAAACATGTAATATTTTGCTAGGTTGAGTAATTACTGATCAAATATCTAGCAGCTCTTAATATCATAACCCTTTATCTCCTCAGTGCTTCATATAAGGCATTGAATATGTATTTTCAGATGATGAAGTACATAATGACAAATTATGGCTAAGCAGATTGAGTAGAGAAAAATAAAACAGGATGACCATTGTTGGTTGGGGTGCTTTCTTGGATTCCTATTGGTCCAAGATCTAGACATTTTGGAGGAGCCATCCAATATAATGTTCTATTCAGTTTGTGTTGATGGCTATAAACACAACAGGTTGCTATGTTAGTGTAAAAAGCATGGAGCCTGGCCAGTGTGGCTCAGTGGTTGAGCGCCTACCTATGAACCAGAGGTCATGGTTCAATTCCCAGTCATGGCATATTCCTGGGTTTTGGGCTCCATCTCAAGTAGGGGGCATCAGAAGGCAGCCGATCAATGATTCCCTCACATCATTGATGTTTCTGAAATCAATTAAAAATATTATTAAAAAAACATGGAATTTTGAATATCAAAATGTACATTTGAGTCTCAAGTCTGTCATTTTATTGGATATGTGGTATTGAACAAGTCCTTTATTCTTGAATCTGTTATCTTATTTGTAATATGAGGAAAAATATTTGGTACCTATATGTATAAATTGGGTTGTAAGAAATAAGTGAGAACTTGGTAAAATTATAAAGAATCTTACAAATTTTAAATTATTACTACTTTGGTTTTCTTCTTTTCTCAGTTAATCTTCCTCAAATGAATGAACAATTCAAAGATTGCCCAAAACCAATCCTTCCCTTGCCGACCAATTTGCCATCATTTAATAAAGTGCGTCACGACACTTTGCGGAACTGGTGCCAACAATTGAATTTGAGTACCGATGGTAGGGTGAGTACATTGGTGAGAATTTCTGCCACTCAGAACAAATATTCAAAGTCTTGCCAACTTTGCTTTTTCTCTCTTTCTTAAATTTCTTAGAAAATAGAGGTTTATCTGAGGCTTAGCGAACACGCTTATTTTGAAAAAAAGCGAGTGAGAGGGAAGCATGGAGACAATGTAAAGGTGAGTTCTGACTGTGAATTGTTCCTCCTCTCCCAGCATCTCCACATACTAGTATGTTGTACCTCTAAGGTAAGGGTGAGGAATGTCCAGCCATCTAAGGCCCACGATATCATTTCATCTGGCCATGCCAAGACAACTGCAGGTTGTCTAGGAGCTTGTTTCATAGCAACATGAATTTATATTAAGTGAATTATATTAAGCGAATGATGTTATAAATATTCAGATGGCCCTTGGTCGAAAAAAGGTTCTCCTCAACCTTGCTTGCTCTAAGGCAAGATTTCTCAACCAAGACTATTGACATTTTGAGCCAAATAAGTTCTTTTTGTTTGGAGGCTGTCCTGTGTATTTTAGGATGTTTAGCAGACTAAATATCCCTGGCCTCTATGCACTTGATGTTAGTAGCACCGCTTCCTCCCTCACAGTGTTAGCAATCAGCAATTTCTTCCATTTGAGAACCACTACTCTAAGGGAACTAACATTCCTAAACCTTTCCCATGCTGACCCACTCGGGTAAATGTATAAAGAATGATCAAATTGATATAGAAGTCATTATGGTAGTAGCACTTCACGTAATACTCATCACGAATGCCATTTGCAGAATGTTGCTGGAACACCAGAGGAGGCCACATTGCAGTCATGTTCGGGGAAACTGACCAAGAGATCAAGGAGTAAGAAAAGTCATCAGATGAGCAAAAGAGAGGAAGAGACTCATACGGTTGAGATGACCAGTATAATTGAAGTGGCTAATACAGTTGAAGTGGCCAATACAGTTGAAGTGGCCAGTACAGTTGAAGTGGCCAATACCGTTGAAGTGACCAATACAGTTGAAGTGATAACTTCAGCTCGTGAGGCCATGCTGGCAGCGTGGTCAAGAATTGCTGCAAGAGGCTCGCTATCTAAGGCTGCGAATTCATACAGCATTCCTATTTCTGTTGAGAATTTTCTGCTGCAAACATCTGGTAAGATCAACTTTAAACAGTAAGCACCATTCCAGAGAAAGAAGGTTAACTTTTATTAGTCCAATACTGAAAGGTAGTACAAGGAAAAGAGTTAGTTAAAATATCTGTAGATTGGATATTAGGTTCATAGAAAACTTACCTTTTGATTGATAATCAAGTTTTGCTGGATGAACTTCTAAGCCAGGTCATAGAGTGCTGACCCTTTTGATCACTAAGCAGAAGTATAAGGTGGGGAGAAAGCATAATCTGATAATGTGGTCAGCCACAGCCTGAGGTCTTTTATTTTAAAAAAAATAATTTTATTGATTTCAGAGAGGAAGGTAGAGGGAGAGATAGAAACATCAATGATGAGAGAGAATCATTGATCTGCTGCCTCCTGCATGCCCCCCACTGGGGATTGAGCCCACAACCCGGGCATGTGCCCTTGACCAGAATCGAACCTGGGACCCTTCAGCCCATAGGTCCACGTTCTATCCACTGAGCCAAACCAGCTAGGGCCAGCCTGAGGTCTTTTTCTCTCCTTTTCTTCAAGGCTTTCTTCATAGCATAGTGTAGGGATTTGAACAGCCCTGGTTCAGATTATTTTTTTTAAGATTTTGTTAATATGTTTTTATTGATTTCAAAGAGGAAGGGAGAGGAAGAGAGAGATAGAAACATCAATCATCGTCTGCCTCCTGCATGCCCCACAATGAGATCAAGCCCGCAACCTGGGCATGTACTCTTGATCAGAATCAAACCTGGGACCCATCAGTCTACAGGCTGACGCTCTATCCATTGAACCAAACCAGCTAGGGCTAAGATATTGTTATATATTTTAGAAGTGAAGGGAGGAAAAGGGAGAGAAACATCAGTGATCAGCTGCCTTCTGCATGGGCCCAGTTACATAGCTGTCTCTGAAGAACTGCCTACCCAGCAACGACACCTCTTTCTAATTTTCATTAATGTGCCATATGACCTAGTAGCATTCCACACTTATTCATCCTTTTAGTACCTCTCTATTTCTTTTTAAAATATATATATATTATTGACTTCAGAAAGGAAGGGAGAGAAGGAAAGAGACAGAAACCAATGATGAGAGAGAATCATCGATCGGCTGCCTCCTGCATGCCCCATACTGGAGATCAGGCCCGCAACCTAGGCATGTACCCCTGACCGGAATCGAACGTGGGACCTTTCAGTCTTCAGGGTGATGCTCTATCCACTGAGCCAAACCAGCGAGGGCATTAGTACCTCTCTATTTAGCAGTTATTAAGCATCTACTGTGATCCAAGAGTGTGTCTAATCACCGGGTATATAGCGCTAAACATAATCTTTATTGTTTTACAGTCTGATGGGAGTTTTTATGAATATTTGAGCTCACGGTGACTGCTTCTTTCTCAATTTCAAACACTCGATACCTTACCTTGTTTTGTCTTAAATATCCCTCTGCCCAATTAGATTGTTCCTTGGCCTTTCAACAAAGATCATTTTGCTTGTTTTTTATATTTTAAGCAGTACAATGTAGTAGTTAGACCAGCGGTTCTCAACCTGTGGGTCGTGACCCCTTTGGGGGTCGAATGACCCTTTCACAGGGGTCGCCTAAGACCATCGGAAAACACATATAATTACATATTGTTTTTGTGATTAATCACTATGCTTTAATTATGTTCAATTTGTAACAATGAAAATACATCCTGCATATCAGATATTTACATTACAATTCATAACAGTAGCAAAATTACAGTTATGAAGTAGCAATGAAAATAATTTTATGTTTGGGGGTCACCACAACATGAGGAACTGTATTAAAGGGTCACAGCATTAGGAAGGTTGAGAACCACTGAGTTAGACAAATGGGTTGTGAATCAATACCTGGATCCATAGCTTGGTTCTGAGAAAATTATAATATTTAACACTGCAAGCTTCAGTTACTTCATTTTTAAATAAGAAAAGTGAATCGAAGGTAAATATAAATGTTCTTAATAAATTTATGAATACATGTAAACCATTTAGCAAGCATTTAAAAAGGTAATTGTTATCCCTCATGCTATATAATTTGTGAAGTTAGAGTATAATGTCTTTTGGTCTACATTTTTCATGCTTCTCATCCAATCAATCCATCAACAGAAAATAAGAGCAAAGTCAAGAGTGAGTTGCTGAGAGGTTGGATTGGGGTGCAATTACTTGCTCTTCACTGTTTATATTTGCTTCTCTTTCCTCCCCAGGTGTCAGGTGGTGTGTGGTCCATGGCAGACATCTCTTGGCAGACAAAAAGGGTTGGGTTCGCCTGCAGTTCCACGCAGGTCAGACCTGGGTGCCTGACACTCCCACGAAGATGATTTCTCTCTTACTTTTACCGGCCTGTACTTTCCCATCCCCAGACCTAGAGGATAACATGTTATGCCCTGACTGTGTTAAGAGGTAACCCTTAAATATGTTTTCTGTATGTCTAGATGGTAGGAGAAAGCAAATGGTCAAACATACTGTTTTCTTAATTTGCCATATAGATCAGGCAAACATAGGAAGGAAAAAGAACTTGATAGTGGATTAGAACTCAGATAAGTATGTGCTTCTTAGCAATCTTAAAGTATGTGACAAGTTAGAATATTAATTTTCTCAAGTTTAGAGATCTAGCTGGGGTTAAGAAAATTAGTAAGGCAAAATCCATGTAGCATGGGGGGGAAAGGAGGCTTATGTAATACTTTAAACAATAAAGAATTTAAATTAAAAAAAAGAGATACTGTGAAATAAATGGAGTAACTTAGGGAAACTTCAGAAAGGATTACGTGCACTGAGGAAGATCTTGTCAGTTGGAAAATAAGAATTTGGCCATTTGGTAGTGGAAACAGCTCATACAAATAAAAGAACATGACATACTTAAAAATAGCAGATAGGTCAATATGATTGAAGCTGTATTGACAAATCTAGAAAGGGAGGGGTAGATCACTGATGGGTTTCTTTCTATAATGATGGCCTCATATATTATCTGGTGAGTCATAATTTCTCAGTCACTTTTGGGACATAGATTCCCTTGAGAATATAATAATAGTTATATACCCACTGTTCAGGAAAATATGCATTGGGCATACACAAGCACTGGTTTAGATTTTCTATAGACTATAGAACTCTTTTTTGTTTATTTTTTTAGACTATAGAACTCTTAATGTTCACCCATTAATAACAGCTTTTGGTGATGGGTTTGGGTGGAGGTGATGTGAGATGGGTGTCGAGGGAAGCTAAGGCTTTTTTAAGGATGTGGATTGTAATCTTGCAACAAAAACTAAGTTGCAGGGTAAGTAAGAGATTACTATAATAATTCTGAAAAGATATAATTTATAAACTTGGCAAAAAGTTTAAAGAGGAATGGGACAAATTTAAGAGATAAAAGAGTAAAAGGAAGGGTGCTATCTTATTAGATGGAGGAAAGGCAGAAGTGTCCCCAGTTCAGTGGTGAAGAATATGATATGTGAGACATGCTTGACATGGGCCTAGATGTCTGAGATAAGAATGGGTTTATAGAGAAACATTTTGGGAGTCATTAGCATTTAAATTGTACATAAGAGTATGTAGGAAATAAAAGGGACATAGGAAAGAACCCTAAAGAGAGTCAGTGGCAGGTGAACAATGGAGACTGTAAAAGTATAATTATAGGTTGGGAAACAAGTAAGAAAAAGAAACAATGGGCCAAGTTTCTGAAGAACATGGTTGGCAGTGAGATGGCCATGTAAGATTATGAATAATGCAGTGCTGGTTGTTTTGTTTGCTTGTTTTTTTGTTTGTTTTTTTTTAATTGATGTTAGAGGAAAGGAGAGGAAGAGAGAGAGAGAAACATTGATTAGTTGCCTCTTGCACATTCCCGGACCTGGCATCGAACTGCAACTTGGGTATGTTCCCCTACTGGGAATCAAACCCACCACGCTTTGGTGCTTGGGACAACACTCCAACCAACTGTGCCATACAGGCCACAGCTGCAGTGCTGTTGAGAATGTCAGTTTAGGACATAACTGGTGCCATTTTTGAGAGTAGTTTGAGAGGATCAGTATATGCAGAAATGTGATAGTGACAAGTCAGAGCATGTGAAGGACTATGGCAGAACATACTGGCAATCTGTACCACCTGAGTGAGAAGGAGATGGCAGTTAGCTGAAATAATAAGATCAAGGGTGCTTCCTTCCTTTCTCCCTCCCTTCTTTTTTCTTTGTATTTTTTTAATGGGAAAATCATGAGCATGTGTGAACAGGGAGGGGATGTGGGAGAAACTGTGGGAAGGGAAGGAATAAACTGTGGGAAGGGAAGGAATAGTATAAAGATAAAGGAAGTGGAACCAATTGTAGTATACAGAATGTGAGGCTTGATTTTAAGACGTAGAATTCTTTCACCCACCATTCTTAGGTGAGGGTGCGGGTGCTAACTACTTAGGAACGCCAGAAGTAGATTCTTTATTTTATTGCTCATTTCCAAGGTTATCTTATTCTAAGTTTTTAAAAATTCTTTTCTCACTTGTTTTCTAGGAATAAAAGGATGGTGGAGAAATTAGTTAAAACGAGGAAGAGAAGAAGTAACCTGGTTTGAACACTCTCAACACAGAAGAAATGGTGGAGAGCTCACAACTAAATTAACTTGTGTCCCACTGATTGCTGTGCTCTGCCCTGGACACCCTCAGCATTCCTGATGCCTTGAATACAGATGTGAATGTTAAATTCTATATTGGAGGTTTGCCAAAAAGTGACTGCCATGCTGCTTCAGGTGTTCAGCTATGTGGAATATGGTTTTGTTGTAATTAATAGATTTTTAAAGCAGCTTTAAGGCTTTTGGAAAAATTGAGCAGAAGGTAAGAGTTCCTAAATTCTGTCTTCCATCCTCCCCATTTCCCCTACTATCAACACCCTGCACCAGAATGGCAAATTCGTTGAACTTACATTGACCCATCATTATCACTGAAAGCCCGTAGTTGACATTAGGGTTCACTCTTTGTGTTTCACACTCTATGAGTTTTGACAAATGTATAGAGATGTATCCACTATTATAGAATCATACAAAAATAGTTTCACTGCCCTAAACATTCTGTACTCCTATTTGACATTCTCTGTTCCCAATCCCTGACCCCCTGATATTTTTACTGTATCCATAGTTTTGTCTTTTCCAAAATGTCATACAATTGGAATCATACCATAGCCTTTTCATAGTCACTTCTTTCACAGCAATGTGCATTCAAGGCTTCTGCATGTCTTTTCACAGCTTGGTAGCCCACTCCTTTTTGGCACTAAATATTCAATTGTCTGGGTGTGCCATAATTTATCCATTCACACATTGAAGGTCATCTTGGTTGCTTCCAAATTTTGGCAATTATGAATAAAACTGTTGTAAACATTTGTGTTCAAGTTTTTGTGGACATACATTTTCAACTTATTTGGAGGAGCATGATTTTTGAATCTTATGTTAAGAGGGTTTAGCTTTATGAGAAACTGCCAAACTTTCTACCAAAGTAGCTGTACCATTCTGAATTCCCACCAATGATGAATTAGAGTTCAGTGATTTGGATTTTAGCCATTCTAATAGGTGTGTAATGATATCTTATTGTTATAATTTGCAGTTTCCTAATTACATATTATGTGGACCAGCTTTTAATATGCTTTGTCATCTGTATACCTTTGGTGAAGTGTCAGTTCAGGTCTTTTGCCATTTGTTTTTAACCTGGCTATTCATTTTGTTTTGTTTTTGAAGGTTAGTAATATTTTATAATATATTTTTTAAAATTTTTTATTTGATTGCTTTGAGAGAGAGCGGAAGGAAGAGAAATAAAAACATGAATTCATTGTTACACTCATTTATGCATTCATTGGTTGATTATATGTACCCTGATCAAGGGCCAAACCCAAAACCTTGTCATATCTGGATGACGCTCTAACTAACTGAGCTATTCAGCCAGGCTTATTAAGTTTTAAGAGTTCTTTTTATATTTTGGATGACATTCCTTTATCAGATATGTCTTTTGCAAGTATTTTTCCCAGTTTTTGGCTTGTCCTCTCATTCTGTTGATTAATTAGTATATTTAGATCATTGATATTTAAAGTGATTAATAGAGATGCATTGAGATATTTTTCATTCCCCCATTTTTAGTGTTTGTTTTTTGTTTGATTTTTTGTCTTTCTCTTGTTCCCTTCTCTGGTTCTAATTGATACATTTTATTAGATATTAATAAAATGGATACCCATTAATAGCTGGATGCAGAAAAAGCATATAACAAAATACAATATCTTATGATGGAAACACTCAACACAAAAAAAATAGAATGGCCCTAGCTGGTTTGGCTCAGTGGACAGAGCATCAGCCTGCAGACTGAAGGGTCCTGGTTCAAGTCTAGTTAAGGGCACATGCCCAGGGTTGTAGGCTCAATCCCCTTCCTCTCTGAAATTTATATATATATATATATATATATATATATATATATATATATATATATATATATTAGAATGAAACCCTGCCTGGGTGCCTCAGTTGGTTGGAGCATTGTCCTGTAAACAAAAGGTTGTGGGTCCAATTCTCGGTCGGGGCACATACCTAGGTTGCAGTTTCTATCTGGGGCACATAACAGGAGGCAATTGACGTTTCTTTCTCTCTCTGTCAAACAAAATCCACAGATATCCTCTGGTTGAGTATTAAAAAAAGACTAGAATGTAACAACCTCAACGTGATAACAGATCATCATGGGAAAAGCCCACAGCTATATAC